AAGATGGGCAGAGTCTTCACATAAGAATTTGTAGCCTCAGGAATCTGTTGGAGGGTCTCTCTGAGTTGAAGTGGACTCTATGATGGTAGTTTTGGGTTTGGGTTTTTATGAGCCGATTTTGGTTTTTTATATGGTGAAAAAGACATGAGGCTGACCATTATAGATTCAAATCATATACCCAGTGTGATTTTCTTTTTTGAGGTTATTTGAACTTTAGTCTAGTGATAAATGTCTTACTACATTTTTTTTTGTCTTACTACATTTTGAGAATATTTTAGATGACCCAAACAATTTTTAGCTGAAGTTCTTATATCCTGTTGTCATCAAAATGCCACAAATGGTGGCTTTGAAGCACAGATTTGGCATCTAGGACTCTGAATCAGAGCAGAGGCCCTTCCTTGTTGGTAGCTCCAAGTGTTTCTTGGCATTCTCTATACACAGAACCTCTAATGGTCTCTTACCTCCATATATGTGTGTTTGTGTCTACTGTTGCTTTTTATATGACACCAATTATAGAAGAATTTAGATGTAAGACCTGCCTGAATCTGGCACGATCACATTGATATAATCAAAGAAAACCTTTTTTTTCCAGACAGAATCACATCACAGGTAAATGCCTTAGCACTTCAACTTATCTTCAATAATTCAATCAATAAAAAATAGAAAGGATTCTAAGATAGACTAATTTTGATCTTACCATAAAGTTGTTAAGACTAATACCATGTAATTATAAATTGTTAGGTTATGAACAAATGTTAAGACAAAATTACTGGTTAACCTTCCAGAGTATTGATACATTTTACTGTTTAATTCACTGTTTTTATTAATAATATAAAAAATTCACTAAGGCTCTACTATTTCCCCAATAATAGAAATAAAAGGGTACAAGGACATATTCCTGATCATAATCCTTACCAGCAAATAATGAAGCAAATTCAGATAAAAAATGAAGCAAATTTGGCAAGATAGGTGGGCATGAAAGAGAAGAAAGCCAGATGCAAGACCAGTGTCAGAACCAGGGAACAAATGAAGTAATTTTATAGTTAATATCTAAGTAGCCCTGGTAGTATAGTGCCAGCTGCTAACAAAAAGGTCAGCGGTTCAAATCTACTGAGTGCTCATTGAGCTGAGCACTCCTTAAGAAAGATGTGCAATCTCTGTAAATATTTATAGTTCAGGAAGCCTGATCAAGAGTTGCTATGAGTCAGAATCAGCAACCTGGTGGAAAAACATGGAAATGAGAACATAATTGTCAGGAATTGTTACTCATTTCCTATTTTTGTCTAGCATATTGGCTAGTATGGCTAAAACTGCTAGTATGTGTTAAAATAATAGAAATGATATTGGCATGTTGACTTTACTAGGAATGATTCTAATGTCTCATTATTAAGCATAAAGTGGACTTTTGAGAGAAGATACTTCTTAATTATTTTAAAAATATTGATTCCTATTTTATTGAGAGTTTTTATCAGAAGTAATCTTGAATTTACCAATTGTGTCTTTTTACATCTATGGAATGAACACATAGATTTTCCCCCCTTTGGCCTATTAATACAGTCATATGCTTTCACTGAACTTTTGACTGTGAAGTCATCTTTATATTCTTGGAGTAAATCCTACCTGAACAAAGGCTATTATTATGCTGCTACCAACTGGCCTCTCAATGGTGAGAATATTTGTCTTTTTGATATTGAGCTTCAATCCATATTGAAGACTATAGTCCTTTGCCTTCAGCAGCAAATCCTTCAGATCCCCCTGGGACAACATTTCAACTAAAAGCATTACTCCTCAATAATTTGGAGAGGTCCTTAACTGCATACTTTCCCGGTGCAATGCATCTCCTTATTTCCTGACTGCTGGTACCAAGGGTGTTGACTGTAGATCCAAGTAAAATGAAGGTGTTGACAGTTTCAATTTTTTCTTCATATATTACAATGTTGCCTATCTGTCCAGTGCTAAGAATTTTTGTTTTCTTGACATTGAGATGTAATCCATATTGAAGTCTGCATTCTTTGATCTTTTGCAACAAGTGCTTAAAGTTCTCTTCATTTTCAGGAAGCAGGGTTGTGTCATCTGCATAATACAGGGTATTGATGAGTCTCCCTCCAATTCTGATGTCACATTCTTCTTCATGGAATCTAACCTCTTAAATAATTTGCTCAACAAACAGATTAAATGGGTATGGAGAGATAATACAGCCCTGACACACTCCCTTCCTAATTTTAAACCGTACAGTGTTCCTCTGCTCTGCTCACAAAAAGCCTCTTTGTCTAATTATAGGTTTCACATTAACACAATTAGCAGGATTCCCATTCTTCTCAATGTTAGCCATAACTTATTATGATCCACACAGTCAAATGCATTTGTATAGTGAATAAAGACATTCTTCTGGTATTCTTTACTTTTAGCTAGGATCCATCTGATATCAGCAATGATATTACTAGTGTCACACAACCTCTTCTAAATCTTGCTTGAACTTCTGACAGTTCCCTATCTATATACTTTTCTAGCCATTTTTTAATGATCTTCAGCAGTATTTTGCCTCCATGTCATACTAATGATGTTGTTGTTGCTATGTGCTGTCGAGTTGCTTACGACTAATAACGACCCTATGCACAACAGCTCTGAACCCTGCTCTATCCTGCCCCAAACTTATTGTCTCTGACATACCTACCCCCATTACCCCAGTCACTGAATCAGTCCATTTCATTGAGGGTCTTCCTCTCTTGCACTGCCCCTCCACCCTTCCAAGCACAACGTCCCTCTCCGAGGACTGGTTGGTCCCTCTTTGCAACGTGCCCAAAGTATGTCAGGCGAAGCTTCAAAATTGGATAATTTCCACATTTTGTAGTATCACCTTTCTTGAGAATGGGAACAAATATGTACCTCTTCCAATATGTTAGCCAGACAGCTGTTTTCCAAGTTTCCTGGCATAGATTGGGGAGTACATCCAGGGCTGCATCTTTTAATTGAAATAGGTCAGTTGGTATCCTGATATCCCATCGATTCCTGGGGCCTTATTTTTGGCTAATGCCTAAAGCTTCAACTTCCTATTTTATTATCATTGGTTCCTGCTCATATGGTTCTTCCTGAAATTTTTCAGTGTCAGGAAGTTCTTTTTGGTACAGTGACTATTTATTCTCTCCATCTTCTTTTGATGCTTTCTGAATCATTCAGTATATTGCCCATAGCATCTTTCAATATTGTTATTCGATGCTTAAATTTGTTTTTAAGTTCCCTCAGCTTGAGAAATACAGAGCGAGTTCTTGTTTTTATTCTCCAATTCCATTTAACTGCAAATTACATGATAATACTTTGCTTTGTATTCTTTTCTTTTTTTCTTTGTATTCTTGATCTGCCCTTTGGAATCTTCTGTTCAGCTCTTTTACTTCAGCATATTTTCCCTTTGTTTTGGTTTCTTGATGATCTAATGAAATTTTTAGGGTCTCTCTGACATCCATTTCAGTTTTTTCTTTCTCCTCTGTCTTTGTAATGAACTTTTGCTCTCTTCATGGATGATATCTTTGATATCATCCCAGAATTCATCTGGTCTTCAGTCATTGGTGTTCAAGACTTCAAACCTATTACTAAGAAGGTTTTGAAATTCAGATGGAATAAATTCAAGATCATATTTGGATTTGCTTTTATATTCTTCAGTTTCAATTTGAACTCAGACATGAGTAAGAGATGGTCTGACTCACAGTCTGCCCTTGCCTAGTTTTGACTGTTGATATTGAGCTTTCCAATGATTCTTCCACAGATTTAATCAATATGATTCCTATGTAGCCCATCAGATGAGGTCTATATGTAAAGTCACTGTGTTTGTGTGTGTGTGTGTGTGTGTGTGTGTGTGTCTTTTTAAAAATTTGCTTGTTTGGGGTTTTACAATTTTTTTAAATGGGTCTCTCAAAGAAGGTATTTGCAATGAATAAATCGTTGAAAGTACAAAATTTGATCATTTAGTTTTCAGCCTTATTTCTGTCACCAAGTCCATATTTCTATTATTTTTTTCTTCATTGGTTCCAACTTTTGCATTCCAGTTACCAATTATCACTAATGCATCTTGATGGCATGTTTGGTCAATTTTGGACTGCAAGATTTGGTAAAAAAATTCAGTTTTTTTCTCCTTGGCTCTAGATGTAGGAACATATTAGAATAATAGCCATATTAAAAGGTCCTCCTTAAAAAAAAGTCTTCCTTGTATGAGTATGGATAATATTCTATCACTCACAACATTGTTATTTCAGGATAGAACTTGAAATTGATTTTTTACTGTGAATGAAACACCATTCTTCGTCTGTTTTTCATTCCCAGTATAGTATACTTTGTGATTATCTGATTCAAAGTGGCCAAAGCTATCCATCTCATCTCACTAATGCCTAGAATATTGATATTCATACACTCCATTTCCTTTTTCACAATTTCTAATTTTCCAACTGTCAAGCTATGGATATTTCATGCTCCAATTATTAAAGGGTGCTTACCATTATTTTTTCTTGTTTCAACTGACTTCTATTTTGACCTTTACCACTAATATTATAATTATTCATGTTCCTCTACTACTTATAGGATTTTCAGAGGCCTGTTATTTAAGAAGTGGGAGGCCAATCCTGCTTCTAAGCCTGTCTTAATTTGGGAGAACTAAGTACTAGCAAATAGAATTAAGCAATATATAAACAGAATAACCTCCTCACACACACACCTGACCAAATGGGCTTTGTTCCTGGGATACAAGGCTGAACTCAATTTTTTTTAAGTTGATGTCATTATCTTAACCATCATATTCAACAAATTAAAGAAAATAAAAATACATGATCATATCAATTGTTATTGAAAAAGCAGTCCAATTCCCATTCACGATAAGAATTCTCAGAAAAATAAGAATGCAGGGAACGCCCTCAATTTCTTAAAAAGAGTCTACTTATGGTTTACATTAGACTTAGCAGTGAAAGAGTGAATGTTCTCTCCTTAAATTGAGAATATGGTATGGGTGTCCATTTTCATGACTCTGAGTCAAGGCAGTTCTGTAATTCTGGTAGTGTATCCGGGCAAGAAAAGAAAAGAATCAGTAAACAGATTAGAAGGGAGGGATGCAGCTATATTATTTACAAATTATGATTGAGTAGAAAATTCTAAACAACCTAGAGAAAAAACTGAAACCAAAACTGAAAAAACTAACAAGTGAATTTAGTAAAGTTGCAGGATACGAGAGAAACAAAACCCAATTGTATGTCTAGCTACTAGCAATGAACATCAAAATAAAATAATATATACTACCATTTATTAATTGCTAAAAAAGTTAAATACTTATAACAAAACTAATAATAGATATGTATTATTTATATGTGGAAAACTATACAACACTAAAGAAAGAAATCTAAATGGAGAATTACATGATGTAGGTGCATAAGAGATCTTAAAGCGGTAAAGATATCAGAAATTGCACTATTAATCCAAAGGTACTGCTTCTGGAAGTTCTCCAGTGGCTCTGCAGGAGAAAGATAGGCAATCTCCTTCCGTGCAGGTTTATAGGCTCTCAAAACCTACTGGAGGGCCATCTGTGAGTCATTTCCAACTTGATGGGAATGAAGTTTCTTTGTTTTTTAAAAATATACTATATGGCCTAGTTCAAGAAGCTGCACTGCAATCCCAGAGGAGAGTGTTTCAAATCCACCATATGCTGTCCTGGAGAAGGAGGGACAATCTCCTCCTGTACCAGTCAGATCCAATTTGAGCACACACAATAATAAAAATTAAAAAATATATACTGTAGTACAATTTCTATCAAAAATTCTAATAAGACTTTTTTTTGTAGTTAGAAAAAGCTCAAGTTCGGTTTTGTTTTGAACCATTGATGGTATCTTAAATTCTATGAACTACAGTAACAAATAGCAAGCGATAATAAGTGATAATTGCTAAGAAAAGAATAAAGCAATATATATGTATTTGAGGGTAGCTGGATAGTTACATGGGAGTATAATTTTAGATTAGATGGTCAGAAAGGTTTCTTTATGGTGGATGACATTTAAGTGGAGACCTAATTACTTACAAGTCTTTCAGAAGTAACAATAACTGTAAAAATCTTTAGCTGGAAATGAGTATTGCATACTTAAGGAATGTCAAGAGAACCTGGTAGCTATAGCATCATCAACAGAACATGAGAGAAAGGCAGGACCTACAGAAATGCACTCAGTCGAGTTAAGGGTTAAGATGATGAAATTTCTTGAAGTAGAGGGATTCCCCAGAGTAAATTTATGCCAAGATCAGATTAAAACACTCACATTTGAGAAGATCATAAAATACACAAATCCTCTTTGGTTTAAATTATACTCTTAATCCTTAGTTCAACTCCTCTTTATCTCAATGTGTTGGATAGATTCTTACTAGGCTCAGTATTGTGGAAATATACACAATCCTTTCATGAATTATCTTGAATCTTTGTTTCCTAAAAAAATTACTTCTAGGATTTCTGTATAGCAATAATTAAAGCATGTAAATAAGCAAATATGTCAGTTTCAAAAAGTTTAGTTAAATGTTTCCTTATCTTCTCACATGTATAGTTTGACATTCTTAAAAATCAATCTCTGTTTCTCCAGAAGATTGAAGGAAAGTGTTCAGTTCCTAAGCAAAATTCCACTCCAGAAGCAGATCTTTATTCTCTTTATTTACCAAAAAGGTAAGTGTAATTTTATACATTATCTGAGTATTGTCTAATTGTGTTTAAGCGGTGAGTCTCATGCTTATAATTTATTACAATACCAGGAAAAGGATACTAGAAGAGGCCTCTTTGAGGGTATAATATCATCATTGCTTTTTCTGTTTTAGTTCCACAAAAGAAGCAACAATAATGAACCAACAGAATAAACAAAGGACAAAGGTGGAAAAATCAGAGTCATCTTCCTTTAAGACTTCTGGAATAAGTAAAGGGGAAGAATTTGTTTTGTACCCTCCTAAACAGAGCACTTCTTTTGATTTCTTGGAGCTAAATTGTGGTTGCAACAAAACTGCTGACAAAAATATGGAATGGGAGAAAAACGCACTTCCATTGGCTGGGGAGCCTCTTCAAAAGTACCAGAGTTTGGACTTGAGCTCTATTTTGCTTGGGGCACATTCTAATTCAGAACATCTAAGTGCAGCAGAAAGACATTTTCATTCAAAGCAACCTCTAGTACGGACCAAATCAACTCCCTTTGAATTGGTACAGCAGACACAAACAAAGGAGCTGGACAACAAGGAAAATTTTTCTTATTTGGAATTGCAACCACACAATTCTTGTTATATGGAGTTGCAGGCTCAAAAACAGATGCATGCTTCTTCAGAAGAACGAAACTGTTCATTGCCAAGTGAACCTAAGGACCACATATGTAAATTATCTAGTGTAAAGCAGAATGACCACAGTCACATTAATGACTATTTTTACATGCCCTTAGTAGAAGATCCTTATTTTTCATCAGTGCCTCCAGAAAGAACTGGTTCTAAGATGTCTCTTGATTTACCTGAGAAGCAGGATGGAATTGTTTTTCCTTGCTCTTTGTTGCCAACATCCTCTACAACTCTCTTCTCTTACTACAATTCACATGATTCTTCAGCCCCAGGTACTCTGATGAATTCTCCCTCAGTGCCAAACCAAGGGGCAGTCGTAGTTGGTAAGTTATTAAGGTCTGTATGCCATTTTAGGTTTCAGTGTATTTCTAGATCATCTGATTTCTCCTTTCCATTCTTTTTTCTTCTACTCACTCATCTTTCTTCTTAGTCTTCCACCTCCTCAAAAAAATCTGGTTCAGAGAAGCTAAAGTGATGTGACTAGATTGAGAATAGTTATATCAAATTTAATATTCCACAGACTAGGCAGTAAATAAACAGTCAGATTTGGTATAGGAACTAATACCATATCTGCTTCCAAAGAAGATAATCTTCATTCCTAGCAATATATCCCAAAGTCCCACAAAGACAGCCAGTTTCCTAAAGAATAGCAAACAAGATTTGAGGAAGAGCATCACATGACCACTCAGAAATTTTGTTGTAAATTTCTATTGCTATAACCAATTGAACATAATTGCTAAGAAGTTATTTTTTTCCTACTGGAGTTGGATAAAACAAAACAATGGACCTACTCAGTATTCTGGTGAAATCTTTCTCTTATGTACACCTTTATTTTCATACTTTTATCTTTTTTTAAAAAATAAACTTTTTTATTTTGTGTTAGTTTGCTTACAAAGTTCGTATACATTGTTCTTAACACTGGATCTTTTCCATTTCCCTCACCCACCCACCCACCCATCCCTCTCCCCATCAAATTGTGTGACCTATGATTATCCCCATGCCCATTCTCACCCTTCTGTTCTACCCTTCCTCCCCTTGGATTCTCATATTTGTTTTACTAGTTATCTTTCTAGTTCTACAAAATTACATTATACAGTATTTGTGTACTGAGTTAGTTCACGTAGCATAAGATTTTCAAATCTCTCCCAAGTTACGTAGTAATTTTAAAAGTCATTGCTCCTATGTGCTGCTTAGTATACAACAAGTTTTCATTCCATTAGATTGTATTTGGACATTTAGGCTGTTTCCATGTTCTTGGAATGGTGAGTTAAATTGCTGTGAACATTGGTGTACAAATCTCTGTGTCTCATTTCTAATAGTCTCAGGGTATATTCCAAGCAGTGGAATAGCTGGGTCATAAGGAATTTCTATGTTCAGCTTTTTGAGGAAATACCAAACCGCCATCCAGGGTTGTTACATCATTTTATAATCCCACCAACATAAGAGTTCGTATCTCTTCACATGCTTTCCAACTTATTACTTGCTGTCCTTTTTTGTATAAGTGGATTTTGTATATGATAAACATTGTTTTATTTTATGAGGTGACTTGAAAGCAGAAGTGATTTTCATTTTAGATATTATGATGATTTTATGTGAAACAAAAGAAGAGGTAGCAAAGAACAAATTTAAATCTCAAGTATTTAATCAGATAATTTAGAAAGAAATTCTATCTGGATGGGAAGTAGGAAAATTATTTGTTCTGTGCAGTATCAATTATTATACAGTTTTTAAATAGGTGTGCAGTTTATTTGTGGCTCTGTTGCAAAAATATTTTATATGTGGAGTTCTAGATGCTCTGTCAGAGAAAGATGGGTTAAGCTCCCAGGTGAATTACAGCCTCTGGAAACCTGCTGGGGGGTCAGTTATGAGTTAGTTTCAACTATATGGTATATAACAAATGACAACATTAATTGATTAGATTATTTTATATATTTACATTATGGTTTTTAGGGAGCTCTGGTGGCCTAGTAGCAAGAAGCTTCGCTGCAATCTTGAAGGCATGTCGTTTGAGGCCATCAGAAGCTCCACAGTAGAAGGATGGGCAATCCATCCCTTCCGGTGCAATCCATTAACTGCCTCCGAAAACCTGCCAGAGGGTCAGCTATGGGTCTGTTCTGACTCGATGATACACAACAACGACAACATTATGAATTTTAATTAATTTATTTTTATTTGAGTCATTAAAAATATGAAAGATAATTTTTTGTAGGTGCCGATAATATTTAGCCTTCTCTCAGCATCAACATCTTTTAAAAAACTTATCTGCCAAGATTGCAGCAACATTGACATGACGCCATCTGGTGGCAATTTCTTCCAATAGCATTTATGAAATAACTTTAAAAACTTAACAGTTCCACAGAAAAGTGGAAGATCCTGCTGTACAGTTGTTTTGCAAAAAAGGAAGGCAACCATATACGGGCTATTATGTAGGATGAAGATCAGATGCTAAAAATGTTTGCGTTTATTTTAGACTTTGCCGTGCCCAGGCATTTTGTAATGTGAAAATACCTCTTTGAGTTAAAGAAATAACATTTGGAAAAATAAGCAAAAGCTTGTTGGTTTTGCATCTGAAAATGACATCATTTATTTTGGGTTTCTTCTCTCCTTAAGTTAACAAGTATCAACTTAAATGTCAATAATGATTTAAGGAATTGAATCAAGATTAGCATATAAGAATTTTCTCTATATTGTTCTAATTAAAAATTGTGATTATATCTCTGGCATTTTGGATAGCAACATCTTCAAAGGCAGATGATGAAATTCCCCCTCCACTACCTGAGCGGACTCCTGAATCTTTTATTGTGGTTGAGGAAGCTGGTAAGTGAGCAGGGAAAAGATTACTTCTCAGGTTTACAAATGCCTACTAAAGTAATAATGCTTTTGGAATTGGAACATATTTACTTTTTCTCCCAGGAGCATTCCCACCAAGTGATCCCAATCCCTTATCTACAGGTGTGAAGTTAAAATTGGGAACATCACTGGAATGGAGTGGAACATCTGAATCAAAGAAATATGATGATGCAATGGGACTCAGACCAAGCAAGGTCAATCATTTTTATTCTCATTCTATTCATCTGGAGCCAGCCGACTATTGCATCCTAACACCGATTATTCAATAAATATTAAGTAGGCATTGCTACTTATTACAACACATGAGAGGAAGTAGCAGATAAAATTACGTATAAAACTCAATTCTTGCTCTTGGGGAATTTATAGTCTAGTACTGGAGATATAGGATATGTACAGAAGCGGGTTTGCCTATATTTTCATAACAAGGCAAATATGGGAAAAGGTTTGGTTTTTTTTTTTTTGCTTATATAATAGCAAGGCAAAAATGAAAAATTTGGAGTGTTAGATACTTTAAGGTTGGAAGAGTTTAAAGAGGATTGGTTGAGGCAAAATAAGAAAGATTTGATAAGTAGTTTGTTCATATTAGCATATAATAGATTGTATCATGTTGAATTTAATAATGTGTTCCTTTTTTATAATTGTGGAGTTTTGCATGTTATGTGCATTGTTTTGCTTTGTGAATCTTTTTTTTTTAAATGAGAGGTGGCATATTATTTAAAATTAACTTTTTTGGATAGTGTTCCCTGCTTCTGGAAGGAAAAATATTTATATTTCTGACAACTTATTATGTATTTCTGAATATTCTATGAGCTGATCATCTTAAAATTTCAGATATCAGAAAACTAGCTAAATAAACATTTTAAATTGCCTACAAGTATATGATAGGCAAGTATTCTATTTCATTAAACTGTCATTTTGATACACTAATACTTGTTAGCACTATGTATATAAGTATTTATCTTTTAACTCCAAGAGAAAAGATAACCCTACCCTTTCTAATATCATGAAATAATTTCCATTTCAACAACTAATTTCCAAACTAAACTTTCAGGGTAATGTTCCAAGTAAAAAGATTAACCTAGAAGGGATCAAGGTAAAACCAATTGTCATAGGATTTATCACTGTAGGTGACTTTTCTTAATTCAGCATACTTAGGGACTAGGAAAATGTCTGCTGCTGTTGTTGTTGTTGTTAAGTGTCATTCAGCCGAGCATGACTCATAGGGACCCTATGAAAAAAAGGCCTGAGTCTGTTCTATAACTATAGTTGTTTATCTACATTCATAGAGTTTCCAGAGGCATGCTGTTTAGAAAGAGGATGTCACTCCTGCTTCCAAGCCTGTCTCAATTATGGAGTTCCGCCAAACACTGTCCACGATGAGTAACCATTATGGCATTTGACACACCAGTGGTATAGCGTTCAGCAACCCCAAGTTACTTCAGTACAGTAAATTGACAGACCAGTGCTGTACCACTTAGAAGAGGAAAATGTTTACAGAAAAAAAAAGGGGGGGGGGGACATAAGAGCACAGGGCTGTGCAATCTCTCTGAAAGGGCCAGAGAGAGTGAGAATAGTACAGTTCCTCACCGTCTCAAAGCAGAAAACAGATAAAAAGTCCACTGCTCAGCCCACCCTGCCTCTAGAATCACCCTAGCAGCAAAGAGTTCTTTTATTCATTGTTGACTCAGAGACTTACAGTTATGGGGTTTATTAGGAAAGTAAGTTGGAGAGTGTAGGAGGCAAAGATTATCTCACAATGTAAGTCCACATTTAGTAAAAGTTTTGGTTTAGTTCAGCAACACAAATTCAAGAGCCTCTGGTTTCCTTAATTATCTAGCAAGGTTTGCCTCAGAGCAGTTATAAGTCAGCTTCTCCCCCAAGCATACAGTAAGAACAGCAAAACCTTTTAACTGTGGCCAGAACGAATGCAAGAAGTCTCAGTTTGTACCTTGCCACAGTTTCTCCACCACCATCACCAGGGAGTTGCCACCAGAGTCTTGACTCAGTCTCTCTCAAGTCTTGTTGCTCAGTGTAGAAGAGCTCTCTCTCTCTCTCTCTCTCTCTCTTAGACTAAACCCACAGGTGCTGATGATTTGCAAGGCTATGTGTCTGCAACTATGTGTCTGCAGTTAAGGTAGCTGCAGAGGGGCCTAACTGTAAAGCCTAAAAAAAAGGCCAACTTTTAGGCTAACACCACAGAGGAATAATTATATGTTTTATAACTATATATAGATGAAATAGAATTTCAAATATGCCATTTTTTTCTTTGAATGTGGATAGATTTATGTACATTTTCTTGTCTTACTTTTTTTGTTCTGTTTTTTTAGAGTGTGAAACTCCGTGGCCCCAAATCAGGTAAAAAAATTATTTTGTCTTTAGATTGCATTTAGTTCTAAGAATGTATATTGTAAAAATGGTTTGCTAAATTTCAGACAATTCACCTTAAAAGGCATCAAGGTTTCCATAATAACTTCTACTATTTATTGGGGGTTCTGGTGTTTTTTCCTAAGCTAGGAATTTTGCTTTCCTAAACAGAGAGCACCAGAGGAATGTCTATCAATGTTTCATTGACTATGCAAAGGCATTTCACTATGTGAATCACAACAAATTGTGGCTAACTATGAAAAGATGGGAAACCCAGAACACTTGATTGTGCCAATGTGAAACCTAATCTTGGACCAGGAGGCAGTCATCAGAACAGAGTGAGGAAATACTGCATGGTTCAAAATTGGGAAGGGTGTACATTAGGGATATGTCCTATATCCATACTTTTTCAATCTATATGCAGAATAGATTATCAGGGAGGCTGAGCTTTATGAGGAGGAATGTGGTATCAGACCTGAAGGAAGATTCATCAACAACCTCTGTTATGCAGATGACACAACTCTGCTTGCTTAAACTGAGGAGGACCTGAAGCGTTTGCTGCAGAGGGTCAAGGACTGCAGCTTTAAATATGGATTGAAGCTCAACATCAAGAAAAAATAGATTCTCACTACTGGGCCAATTGGCAGCATAATAGACGGTGAAAAGATTGAGATTATTTACAATTTCAACTTGCTTGGTTTCACAATCAACATGCTTGGTACCAGCAGCCAGGAAATCAAAAGACATACTGCATTGGGAAAAATCTGCTGCCAGGGATCCGATCAGAGTACTGAAAAGCAACGATGTCAGACTGAAGACTAAGGTGTGCCCGACCCAGGTCATGGTCTTTGCAATTACGTGGATGCATCAGAAAGCTGGACTAGGGATGACAGAAAGAGAGTTGATGCTTTTGAGCAATAGTGCTGGAGAAGGATATTGAATATACCATGGACTGCTAGGAGAACAAACAGGTTTGTCCCAGGCTGCTCCTTGGAGGCAAGTGTTCTGAAGCTTTGTCTGATATACTTTGGGCATGTTGCAAGGAGGGACCAGACCTTGGAAAGGGACATGCTTGGGAGAGTGGAGGGTGAGTTCAAAAGAGGAAGATCCTTGATGAGATGGATTGACTCAGTGACTAGGGTAAAGGGGGTAGGTGTGTCAGAGACAATAAGGTTGGGGCAGGATAAAGTAGGGTTCAGAGCTGTTGTACATAGGGTCACTGTAAGTTGCAAGTGATTCAGCGGCACATAACAACAA